CTACAAAAAAAAAAAAAAACTGGAGTAAAGAATCATGTCCACACAAACCCAGGAATGGTTCAGTCTAATGGCACATGCTTATGAAGAAGTTCACTTTATAGGAATATGGTTACAGATAGAAAAGATCTCTCTTAACATTTATTTTGCACCTATTCTGCTTTATGGTGTATTTTAAAATTTCACGGATGTGAAATTTTACTTTAAGTTACTGCAATCACACAAGTGATGTAAATTGTTCCAACACAGTCTTCAAGGTGAAGAAAAAAAATAAAGCCTGACTTACTGTAAAATGCCTGGAATCCTGATATAAGGATTCCATGGTGTACTTGGAGCAAAATGGCCACCAAGCCACAAGGCAGGGACTGGCAGGAATTCCTGCTAATGAATAACAATGCTTTGAAACGGAATTGATGCAATTTAAGCTATGCCACAGCCAAACCAGAAGAAAATGAACGTGGTTCCCCAAAGAGAATAACAGGGTATGAATTCTGGTATGAGGCAGCAATCTAGGAGCAGTGCCAAAGCCCCATGTGGAAGGGCCCAAGTACAGAGAGAAAGAAGCAGAAAAATGCCATGAGCTGATGAAAAAGCAATAGTATCCCCCCCAATTCTGCTCTATTTGCAAAAAAAATGTATCTTACTCTAGGGTTAATGAGTGTGTTGTAGTATGGACCCTTGAAACCTCAAAATCTAGCACATTATTTTCCAAAGTGCCATTTAAGGCAGGGGTCTTCATACTTGGCCCTTTTATGACTTGTGGACTTCAACTCTCAGAATTCCTCAGCCAGGCATGCTGGCTGAGGAATTCTGAGAGTTGAAGTCCATAAGTCATAAAAGGGCCATGTTTGAAGACCCCTGATTTAAGGTGAATGAACGTAAAGATAATATGTATGCTTCTACTGCCTTGCCCACTCCCACTTCTTTCAACAGATATTTTTCAATTGGACTGCAAGCATAATTTGTTGTGCTTTACAGTTTTTACGTGTAATCTGGATGAAAATCAGGAAGAATGAATTAATCAAAATTACTACTGAAATTTTGAGATTCCTCCCAAAAACCTGTATTCTCACAACAAAGTCCATAAATCCAAATCTCATTTTAAAGATGATACTTGTGATAAATGCACAGCTCTTCCTACACAGATATACAACCAGCATTTCACTGGATTCTGGCTTGAACTCAAATCTCAAAAAGGAAGAAGCCAGCAGTGTGCATTTCTGTCATTACAAAGTAGCATAACTTCATAAACTTAAACAAAACAATATCGAGCTATGGAGTCTTAGCTTCAGCAGCTGGCATGATAGTGCAAGTATCAGCTGCATTACTGCCCATCTTGGCCTAATTTTAAATTTTTAAATTAAAAAATAACACTTCCCCTATTCCAGAACACAGAAAAGGGCAAAGCAGCAACATCAGATGCCATTTTAACTTCCCCCGAAAACTTCCAGATCCTAAGAAATTCTGGAGAATATTAAGAAGGGAGCGACAACCTCATCCAGCACTTTTCTTGGAGTTACATCCTCTAACACATGCCACTACCTATCCAACTGCCATACAAAGTTCATAGGAAGGTCATCAAAGAAGACTTGGCAAGGTTTAAATCTGGTGCTATTTCTAGACATATTGTTACTGTGATGCTGAGTGCTCAAAAGTTCACTGTGTTTCCCACTATATTTTAGCATCTTGTCCCTCTATTATCATAGCCAATCTATTAATCCTGTGGAGGATCTATGAGGTCCTGCAATAATAACATGGGACCACTAAAAAAAATAAAAAACAGTTTGGTTATTAGGGTATTCAAAAAAAAACCAAAAAAACCCCCACCAGCTATCTATATGGCTAAATACCAAGGATAGGGTCTGCAGTGCAATACTGGAAAAAATAAAGAAGAAAACTGTCATATAGCCTATTGAGCAGTCTTGCTATCGAAGTGGAAAATAGATGAGTCCTCCACTAATATGTATAAAAGTGAATAATTTTAAAAAATGGCACTGGGAGAAGTAAGACGTATGGCACCGATCCCCATTCACCTCCTATAGCAGTGGTTCTCAACCTGTGGGTCGGGACCCCATTTGGGGTCGAACGACCATTTCACGGGGGTCGCCAAACAACGCAGACCGCCATTTTTTCCCCCTTTTCCTCAGTTGTGCTACTCCCTTTTATTCTATTGGCTTTTGAAAGCCAATAGAATAGACTCTCTTGAATAGAGTCTAATTCTATTGGCTTTCAAAAGCCAATAGGAATTGTCCAGGCTGTCTCTGCCCTGCTGAGCCCGCCAAAAGTCCCATTCTGCAAATGGTGCTGCACCAGTTGAGTAGTCCTCGACTTACGACCGATTGAGTAGTCCTCGACTTACGACCGGTTGGGGGTCGCGGCATTAAAAAGGTTGAGAACCACTGTCCTATAGTGAGGTACTGTTTCGCCCCCCCCATGGCACTAATATTTATAAAATTCACTGAAGTGGAGGTGGGGATAAGGGATGAGAATAGCTTCCAACAAGATCAGATAAGAAAGAGGTTGGAGTGCTTGGAAGTCTTTGTAAAGTTTACTTGCGATTTATTATTTCTTTATTAAATTTATATGCTACTCATCTCCTTGTTTGAGGCAACCTTAAAATCTAGGTTCATAAAGGAATACTATCCAAAAGAATGTGCTTCATTTTTATGATCCTCATGTATTCTCTAAGAACATTAGTGTATTTTCCACAAGGAAAATCCTGCACAGTAAAGTTATCTGAAGAGTTCCAGAATTCTCCATTACTCTATTATTCCATTATCTTCTAGTAGAAAGATGATTCTCTCTTCTGGAAAGTCTCAGAATGTTCCAGGACTAATTCTGGAAGCATTTGTGTTAATAATCAATCTAGCAGATTGACTTTCTTTTCAAAGACTTTTTTTTTCCAAATTGAACAGAATAGATATTAAACAGTCTCAGAACATTTATTTATGAAGTATATTCTTTAATTCTTTAAGAGGGAACTTTCCCAGCCCATACCCTCCAAATGCACCAGGCCACAACTAACAGTACATAGACATGGAAAATGGAGCTGGAGCCCAACCTGTTGGGAGAACATCTGTCTAAGGAAGAAAAAAAGTATATATTATTCCCTCTCTTCCAGTAAGAGAGTCAATTATCTCTTACTACGATAGTGAAATTTAAAGTATTTAAAAATTATTATATTTTTCTCATGATCGTACTCATCTTGACTGTGCAAGTATGCATTGTCAAATGCAGTAGAATGAGTTGTAGGCTCTATCACCATGTACAATACATGACAGTAGCATAGAAGTTCCTTCACTATTCTAAGTACACATAGTAGTACTCACATCTTTAAAGAAGAAAATGTACACACCCACAGATGCTTTATCAACTTATTTTGTTCTTATTTACATTTTCTAAAGGTTTAAACATAGTTGTATTTTTCTTGATTTTAATCAAGGGGGAAAGTATTACAGAGCAGTAACCCTTCACCCAAACAAACAAAAGGCTCTTTAAAGGGGAAATACTATTAGCAAGTTCTTGCCACAGCATCAACTTTTATAATAAAGGAAGTTGGCAAACCTGTAAAGGACGGCCTAACCATTTGCAACCTGGTATCCCAACTGATGCCCTGGGGCTCCAGCTCTCAGAATTTCCAGGGTACCTGAAATGTGCCAGGCTGAGAAAGTCTTTAACAAGAATTCTCTGAAAGCATTTAAGATAATGTCATCTCCCACAGTCATCTCTAATATTTGCTATTTTAAAGCAGACTGAAGACATACCTTCTGAGGAGTATCCAATTTATTGAAAAGGCAGGCCTTGTTATTTCAGCTGATGTGCTTCCAGCACCAGCATATCGGTGCCAGCTTTCTCATTTGTTTCCCCCCCCCCTATTCTTAGCAGATTTATACTTTGCTATCCTCAACAAATTCTTCACAGATCTCTATAAAACAAAACGCTCTCCAAACAATAGTGGAAAACTTTCAAACTGGAAAACCGGAAAAGAGAGAGATTGAGAGATCTGTGCAATGTTTGTGTGTCAGCCTGTGTTTTGGTACTTGCACATACGCCAACAGAAAAACAGCCCTATTGCCAACCAGAACTAGTGATGCCTGTCTTCCTTTCCTTTCCTTTCCTTTCCTTTCCTTTCCTTTCCTACTTCCCCCTTCCCTTGCCATTAGAGCCCCTTCAAACTAAAACTGAGCTGATTAAAAAGCAGTAAAGTTCTGCGTTTGAATATTGGTAAGGGAAAAAAATCCGTATCAGCAAAGCACACATAAGGGATAGAAAGAGAGAGAGGTAGAAAGAATCAGCTAGAAGATGGCCAGAATGCCTGGTTTCTAGCAGCTGTGTAGCTTTTTCGGTGAGGGGCAGACTGCTGAGCAGACCTGGAGGGAGGAGATGTGGGACTAGAGGAGGGGAGTCAGTTCTCCATGTCAGAGCTTTCTCAGAGCTGTACAGGAAACGAGAAGTCAAACAAAGGGCCACTCTGTATTCTGTAATACAGACACCCTTCAATCCCTGGAGCCGAGTAATTAAAAAAACTTTACCATGCCCTAAAACCAGCAACTGATATGAGACAAAAACAACTTGTCACCCTAGTATTCAGCCATTGTTGCCACTCATCTATGCTTAATGTAGAAAGGAAGCATGTAGAAATCATGTATATTGTCAAGATAAAAAACCATCCAGGCAAAGGAAAGCTTTTCAGAGGCTACAGAAATAGAAAATCAAAGTCTTTTGACACAACTAAACATTTTATCTATAATGATATTTATTACCTTTGTATGATGCAACTTGTACCCACTTTGAGACAGAATACAAAGAAACAAGACCCTAATCTTTCTAAATGAAAAGAGTCAATATTGTAAATGATTTTTTTTCTTTCTTTCTGGACACAACTGTCGGGCCATAGAGGGAGAATCACTACACAGCAAAGGCTCCAAGTCAGAGGAAACTTAACAGAGGCTTTACAAAGGAAAGGGGGGGGGAAGCTACAGGCAACAGGCATCATAAGTTACCTTCATACTGGCGGAGAATGCCAATATTGTTGTTCATCTTGTCCAAGTACTGGTAATTCAACAGGTCCATCTTCATAAATAGCATTTAGTGGGCTAGCAAAGAAGACCAGCTTGCTTGCTTTCACCCCGCAACAGCAGCAAGAACACAGGCAAATAAATGCTCCAGGCTCCTTCCCAAGTTCCACCAGCCTCAAGGCCCAGCCTCCGACTAATCAAAACAAAAGTGTATTAAAATGAAGTAGCGGGGGGGGGGGGGAAAAGGCGGGTGGGAAGCAAAAAAAAAAAAATCCCCCTTCAGGAGCTCGAGATCTGGAGGCAGAAAGTGGAGAGTAGGTTATGCCCACGGTCGCCACTGAGATTGCGCTGGGGGAGGGTAAGGCCTGGAAGAGCTCAGGCTTCCTAGGACAAAGACATGCTAATTCTCCTCACAGCCCGCTGCAAGTTAACTGCGCTGACATGCAGGCTATGCTTGGTATGACTCCTATGTAAACTAGCTTCCTCTTTCTAGCAGTCGGCCACAACTGAGCATGCTCACTAAATCCCTGGAGCTCTTCAAATGTCAGGGATATTTTCTGCACAAGATCAGGCTCTAAATGCACAGCGAGTTTTGAAAGCAAGACAGAGGAGAAGGAGGAGGAGCTGTTGAAGACGGCACAGAAGGGGCCATGTCAGCCTCTGCCCTTACAGGAAGCACAGCTGCCACTACAGAGAAGAAAAAGAAAACACCAAGCTGCTTTTGACAGAGTTAAATCAATGTGTAGGGTGGATTCATTTCTGAAAACAGAAGTTGACACCTTTGCTTTTTCTCTCTCCATTTTCACATTCCTAAACTATTTCTAATTCCAAACTAATCTCAATCCAAAACACTACACATTGTTAAACAAAAATGATGGGAGTTTTACTTACAAATAAAACATAGCTGGCTTTAGTACAACTGCCATTATTTAATTCCATATGCACTACAGTTACAATGCAGACAGAAAAAGATTGCTATAGTGTGATGTTTTTATTAATTGTTGAAATATTTGGTTAAAAGTAGTAGGTTCCCAAAAAGAGTACTTTAGAGTCACAGGAACTTGGCATCCTTTTTTCAGATACATTTAGGTATTGTTTAATTCTTGGTCAGCTACACAGCAAATGTTGTCTTAGGATGAGTTGGAATAAGCAATGGCACTTTTTGAGAACTGGAGGTTTGGACTGCGACAGCAGGATTAAAAAGTGCCAAATAGAAGAGGGAGGAATAGCTCATCACAAGGGGCCCTTGAGAGGGGAAAAAAAGCCAAACAGTCATGTTGAAGTTGAAGCAAAGTAAATTTATTTTGGATATCAGAGAATGCTGTTGTTGTTTTTTCATTTTGAGAAACAATCCTGCAATAAGTGTTTCTAGTTTGCTGGATTTTTTTTCTTACAGTTTTTTTAAAGAAACATCACATATTAATCTGCTGAAGACAATATTGTGTTGAGGGGTTGAAACAGAATTCCTTTATAAAGATTTATAATTTGTTTTTGTTTTTAAGTTTGACTGCTTATAAGAATACAATAGAAGTTTAACATATCAAACAACAACCAATAATACAGCAGTTTAAAATTATCCCTCTCAATGAAAAAATAATTGCTTTTAAATATAGTTTCATAAAGCAACTTTAGCTGATCTCTAAAAGACCAAATGGAGGTGGGGCCTGGTTAGAATTTGGATGGGAGACCACCAGGATTTTTCAGGGCTATAGGCAAGACTGGGAAGTCAAAAAGCATCCCACAAGAAAGCAAGCCAGTTCCATGCTATCTCATGCACTTATCCGGAGCTGACCTCAACATGAAGGAGAAATTTCCTTTATCTAATTTTATAATGATTCTTTATTAACAACATTTGTTCATTATATAATCACTTTATTTATCATGTCATGTGGAACGGTATCTAAAAGTCTTTTGAAATCCCTTTTCCATCCACTTCTTCTTAGAATCAAATCAACCTTGTGTTAATCAGCTAATTTTTCATTTTTCTATGATACAAGACTTGGCCACAAATGGATTGAAACTAAGTGACCGTAATGATGTCCAGGAAAAATTAAATTGTCTTGTATGCTTATTATGTATTCTAACAAATAAGTTATAATTCGTGAATTTGCATGTTCAGATTAAAGTTTCCTTCATTCTGACATGTCAATTTTAAAACTGTAAAGTTCTTCCTATTATTATCTTTTTATATTTTAACTCACCTTAGTTTCACTTATTTTTAGTGATATAAAGCAGTCCAATATTCCCATTATGCTGGCAGCTACAAGGACTATATACCAGCAATATAATATGCCTCAATTCTTTACACTCCAGCAGCACCCTAAAATGAACAGCCTTGCAACTTTATAACTGATCCATCAATCACAGCTTGGAAGCACAAACATATGTACTAAAGTGCAGCAACAACAAACACATTGTAATAATACTGTAGAACTAATCCTGTACTTTCTCACAGTCACATCCTTTGCCAGGCAGGCCATATCCATTTTTCATTCCCAGTGAACTGGATGACACCAACTGACACTCTCAGCTATATACTGATTGTTTTGATAACCTAAACAATTTACTAACGAACAACTAAAACTAAAACAACTAAAACATATAAGGAACGGTTGCTGGAATTGGATGTCTAGTTTATTGAAGAGAAGGACAAGGGGGGGGGGGGCATGATAGCAGTGTTCCAATATCTCAGGGGCTGCCACAAAGAAGAGGGAGTCAAGCTATTCTCCAAAGTGCCTGAAGGCAGGACAAGAAGCAACGGATGGAAACCAATTAAGGAGAGAAGCAACCTAGAACTAAGGAGAAACTTCCTGAGAGTTAGAACAATTAACCAGTAGAACAACCTGCCTCCAGAAGCGGTGAATGCTCCAACACTGGAAGTTTTTAAGAGACTGGACAGCCATTTGTCTCAAACGGTATAGGGTTTCCTGCCTGAACAGGGGGTTGGACTAAATTATCTCCAAGGTCCCTTCCAACTTTTTATTATTATTATTATTATTATTATTATTATTATTATTATTATTATTATTATTATTATTATTATTATTATTATATTAAGAAGTACATCATGGATTTCTGAAACCAGAAATAAGAACCTGGTAATTGTCATAGTGAGCCATTTGCTACATAGTCTAATACAGGGGTGTCAAACTCGCAACATCACATGACATGTCGTGACGTATCGTGACTTTTTTTCCATTGTCAGCAATGGGGTAGGCGTGGTTTCACCATGACACACATCTGGCCCATGGGCTGGCAGTTTGACATCCCTGGTCTAGTATATTGAAGCCTAAAAGGGAAGAAAGAAGGGAGGGAGGAATCCCTCATACAAGAAAAATCCAGGTGTATTAACCAGTATTCCATATGGGCAAGGTGTATTATCAGCTTTCTTAGTGCCTGTCTATGAGAACATGCAGATTGCAAGGTGCAAACTAATGAAGAAGGAAAATTTGCCATTAAGTACAGCACAGCTCAACAAAGTCTCTTGGAATGTTTCAATGCAAGCAATGCCTCAACTTAGCAAGTCGAAAACAGTTCTGCCCCTCCCACCCATCCTAAAATAAAATCATTGTGACTAAAACTCAGTTTTCTCATTTCATGGAGAATAAACTAACCTACTTCAGTGTAATTCTAAGATATGTTGGTTACCTGTTTAATCTAGACTGATCTATAAAAAAGAAAACAGATGGAAACCATCTAACAGACTAACTTCCTACATTTGTGGTTTTTAATGTTATTCTACTTAACATTTATTTTATTAATAATTTATTTTATTTTATTAATAATTAAATGGTAATATTTATTTTTCTACTTTGAATTATTTAAAATAGGATTCAACTGTCTATTTTAACTGCCATAAAGAAGTACTACATAGCATTAAATATTTAAGAACCTGATTTTGATTAGTACGTTCCATTTCAGGTATGGAGGAAATTTAACAATTAAAGGTATCTATAATTGCCAAATTTCATACACATATATTAATAAATGTTCATGAAAAAAAATTGTGAATCACCTCCAAGAACTATTTTTTACAGTACTAAAACACATTCAGTCTCTTTTTTTAAGAAGTAATTCCCTGTAGTCTCATAAAAGAATTTGATGAGACTGCAACCACTGCACAAAAAGCTCAGCTTGAAATGCAATCAATGTTAAATATGTATCATTCCAAACTTTGCTCACTACGTGGTCATGTTTCATAATCTACATTTAGTAATAATTTTCATTCATATTAGGAATTGACCACTACAAATTTTGTAGTATTGGTTTTGTGCTTTGTACCCAATAACACAGAACAAAGTATAATAGTATTTAAGACAAAGCAAGACAAAACTATATAGTAAGAGCAATTGCACAAGGTTCGGTCTCTCCTTATTACATTAGACTTGATAATGACTGCTAGTAGATTTCCTAGGTTTTTAGAATTTTTCTTGGCTGAAACTATGTGACTAAACTCGAGTGGCAACTCAGAGTAACACTGCATTGTATAATTAAATATACTGATGCTGAAGTGAAAGCTGTAATTTGGTGCAGCACAGGACTTATTAAAAAGTTGTTGTTTTTTTAAAAAATGTATTTTTCCAAATATGTTTTAGTACAATACTGTCCCCTGCAGGCAATGCTGAAGACATGTACATGCTATTATATATATATATATATATATATATATATATATATATATATATATATATATATATATATATATATATTTATATATATATTGTTAAAAGTTGGCTGCTTTACATTCATCTAGAAAAAATTAGCTATGTACCCAGATGCCCATCTTTCTCTTTGAATTACTAATATCATTTTCTTTACCATTCCATATTTCAGTTTCTAGCTTGATCACAGTATAAATTCTATCAGATGATTAAAGTGGCAGAAATCTGACCAACAGGAAGCATATTTGCCAAATTACTTCCCCACTAATATACAGCAGATCATATAGCTATAGTATGAAAAAAGAAGGGGGCAGTAGTGGTTCTGGATAATATGAAGATTTAAAAAAAACCAGGCAGCTATAATAAGGCTCCTTTTGAGGTTCCTCATGAATGAAAAGGGGCGTTGTCTTACCTGAACGCCTTTTCTCAGCATGATGATGTAGAATCCACCGGATGGGTAATTTCAGCCTTCCTGCTCAGAAAACACTAGGTCAGAACTTTGGCCACGCCTCCCTCTGGGTGTGTCTTCCCAGTTTTGACGAGGCGAAGCATCCCTGACGAAGTCTGGCGCAATGGCTGCAATCATCGTGACACCTGCCTAGACTACCCTAACGGGAGAGTGTGGATTCTACATCATTATGCTGAGAAAAGGTGTTCAGGTAAGACAACGCCCCTTCTCCAGCATGATGAGTGTAGAATCCAGCGGATGGGACATACCAAAGCCGCTCATGTCCCTACGGGGGGGGGGGAAGTCTAGGCTTGTGTCACCTGAGAAGAAACGACCTGTTGTAGGACCCGTCTGCAAACCTATCTATCCTATAATGCCTGACAAATGAGGAAGGGGAGGACCACGTCGCTGCCCTACAAATCTCCTTGATCGAAGCTTGTGTGGACCAAGCCACTGACGCAGCTGCACTGCGCGTCAAGTGAGCCAT